CATATTTTCAGAACTGATTGAAAACTCAATGGAACACTTTTCGTTTTTTTGTTTCAAGATTTTAACTAGTACCGTTCACCAGTTTTCCAGATAAATCGGTTTTTCATTTGACTACATGCACATTCAGGTGAAAAAAATCACTAAGCCAGTATCATTATGGACCATCGATATGATGTCAGACAGTATGTTAGTTCCGTCCGTACAAAAGAATCGTCGATTTATTCGTTCAAATTGGTTAGAAATGTCTTAGATAAAAAAGAACGACAGGGTCGACTATTTGTCAAAGTGCCCACCATAAATAAACCAGACTTTTATGCTGCACGTCTTCGCTTTACTTTTCACTTGTTCAGCATTCGTACCTTGAAATGTATTCAGCAGTTTCGGTTTTAATTTTTATCATGCAACACACCGAATATACAGTTTACAAAGCTTTCTCTTTCATTACTTTTGTCATTTTTATCTACTTTGTCTTGGAAATAACGTTTGAAATATTAAAAATTTTTCATTAACTCATTCGGAAATTTAATAGAATTAACTAAAAATGCAATTCAAAACCGCTGTTAACCTAGTTGCTGTTTGTAAAGAATCTGTACGAGAACAACCTTCGTCAGTTCTTATCATAACACACTCAGTTTTCCACAAACCATTTTTAAGGATTCTGTTTCCTTGACTAATAAAGGTTATTTTGTGACCCCCCAGAAATGTACAGCGTATGATATATAATTCAATAAGAAAAAGAAAAGTAACGATTATTTATTTTTTTATGAATATCAAACAGTCGCTGTTGTTTTAACTGAAACTTGAATGGATTTTTAATTAAATAAAATTATATATATATGTTCGAATTCTTTCCATATTAATAAGAATATTCACTGTCAAAAGTAAATGTTGTCGATGTACCATATGATAAATTTCTTCTTTCACCTACACCTGTTACTATTTAAAATTACAATTCATTATCGATAAATCTATCATGCTGTTTTTAGAGATCTTTTAGAATAATCAAACAATTTGCATGAAGAACAAAAAGAATCTCAATTATTCTCTTTTTTTAAATAATTGGAGAAATACAATTTAATTGCATTTGTCAGGGCTCATAAGATAAAAATCAAAATCAGAATAAATTCACATATTTTTGAACACATTGACATACTCTTCGGTATTTGGAAGAGATGAAAAATCTACTCAATAAACGTGTGTCAGTACTTCGTGTACCGAGAACTGTACAGGTTAGTCCTGAACACAACGATGAATTTTCTCATGATGAGGTCGAAACAATCAACAAAAATTCAGTTGAAGATGATAATGTACCTCTAAAACAAGATGAAGGAAATAAAGTAAAACTACAAAATGGAATAAAAGTACCCAGAGCAGCGACACCAACACGCAAGGTAAGAAAAAACTCGAGGAAACTAAGGCACACATATATATAACGGGTGCGACATAAAGAATGTCACCATTAGTATTTTGCGCTTCTCTCGGCTGCCTCTCATCGTAGAGAGTTCAGCTGGATCTCAAAAGATTCCCCGTTCAATTCTCTACAAAATCATTTGCTTTTATTTATGCAAATAGTCTCCACAATTTTCTGACACACGATGCAAATGGGAGGTCCAGGCTGCACAGCTTTCCCACACCACTTCTGGCCGAATTTTTTTCACAGGCTGTTTCAGTTCGTCGATCAAAGTTTTTTCGACGTCACGCGGTCTCACTTGATGGCTTGTGCAAGTTCTTTCCAGATCGAGTAGTCCAATGGATTCAGAACTGGACTGTTCGGCGGCCAACTGTCCTTGTCGATGAATGAGGGCATATGGTCTCGACACCATTGCTGTGATAAATGATGAATGTGAGGCCTCGTACCGTCTTGTTGAAAGGTCCAGCTGTGGCCGCACGCTTTGTTTCCATACTTGGCAGCCACGGGTAGAACCTCCTGGGTGTATCCGGCGTGATCGACAGACCCTTCGTTGAAGATTACCAGAGGCGTCACACCCCTCGAACAGACCCCGAGCCAGATCATGACTTTCTTGGGGAACTGGCGTCTCTGCTTCTTGCCTCCTCGCACATCGGCTTCGGCAGATCCACTGCCCATACACGGTCATTCTGGGTGTTGTAGATGCCATCGATGTCAAACAACTTCTCGTCCGAAAAGAGGATGCGCATTGTGTCTTCCTTGCGAAAATTTTTCCACACCCAGTTTGCAAACTGCATGCGCTTAGCCTTGTGGGCATCGGTAAGCAGCGGTTCGACCACCTTCTTGTAGGATCGCAGGTGCATATCTTCCTTGAGAATTCGACGAACACTTCGGTCAGAGATTTTCAGTTCGATGGCCAGTTTATGTGCAGACACAGGCTTCTTCTGCTGCAAGCGATCAATGACCTTTCGGATGGTCACACTGGTTCGAGCCATGCGTGGTCGACCGGGAGATGTTGACAGGTTAATAGAGCCAGTCTCAGAGAGCATCTTGCACCACCGTAGGGTCATTCGACGACACACAACATCGCCCAAATCACGAAAGATTTTCGGTGGACCGTCGCCATTCTGTCTCTTGGAAATAACCACTTTCTGCAAATCTTTACTTTTCATGATCTGAAGAAGATACTATAAACTCAAACACTAATATAAATACATGGGTTTGTAGAGGATTGAACTGGGAATCTTTTGAGATCCAGCTGAACTCTCTACGATGAGAGGCAGCCGAGAGAAGCGCAAAATACTAATGGTGACATTCTTTATGCCGCACCTGTTATGATTAACCCACGCTTGTGCGACCGACGTTTGAACACCTCTGACAATTGAGCGAAGCGCATCATTTATAGCTACTCACCCTTACCCTCTACAGGTCTCCAAATAACGGGTTTTTTGTGTTCGCGGCAAGAGCATAAGAACTAAACATAGAAGACACTACATAATTCTGAAAGTTCGATGTATAACGGAAATCCGGTGTTGTAGAATGATCAGTTAGTTCTACAGTTCTTGCACTTGACATAAAATATGGTCTTATTTAAAATAGACTACTATTTTTCCTACTTTAATAAAACCTACTTAGCATTTAAATGGGAGCCTTTAAAATATTCACACATCGTCAATTATTCATTTTGGATAAGCATTTTGAATTGAGTCTTAACATCTTTTTTTCTGCAAATCTCATTCAGAATCGAGGATATCACACATGCTATGAAAAGACTACAGTTCAGTTTAATTCTTCCGGTAGGGCATCGGATCATTGCCAAGCGAAATAGCTATCAAATAAAATTTACTATAGAATATTCAGTTCTCCAACATAAGCACCACAATTTAAAGATAAACGTTTTCTATAGGAAGTGCGCAAAACTAATGATGAACGAGATGATACAAAATGGTATAGTAGCAGCAGCACTGAACAGTACACTCAGTTACGAGAGAATAAAGAAGTCGTTCGACAACAACCAACGAGCAGTGATTTATCAACACAAATGGTTCATCCACGGATGGAAAAACCATCGATTAACATTGTTGATAAAGAGGTGACTCGTCCTTGGTTGAAAAAATGGACAAACAATAATCGATGGCAACATAATTTGTGTTCATGTTGTGATGATTTTAACATGTGCTGTTATGCATGTTGGTGCTGGTATTGTTTCAAATGTGATGTGTCTACAGCATTGGATGAAAAGTGTTGTATTTGGTTTGGAAATTGCTCACCATTGATGCAATTGAGAACAAAATTCAGACAACAATATGAAATTAAGGTCAGAAGAGATATGACAAGATCTTCTATTGTTTCTAATCTATAGTATTCTAGGGTTCAATCGCAGAAGATTGTTGTGTGGCTGAATTTTGTTCATTTTGTGTAGCATTACAACTGGCTAATGAAGCACGAGATTATGGCCATCGAGTTTACTGTTAAACGATCCACATCATATATAGCAATAGTTGTTGATGTGATTCATTATATTTGAGAACAAATGCGGCAGCTATTTCAGATTGAGAATAGCTGTAAATGGAGAAAACCAGATTTAGGAAGAAAATTATTTTTGTATATTCTCATCAATCATACATTGAATTGGGGTATAAAGTTATGCAGCTCTAACCTGGATATGTATATGAACAGTATCAAAGGACGATTAATTCTAAAAATAGTTTCAAAAAATCTGACTGTTTTTCAACCTGTGTCGGACATTTTTCCATCATTCAGTAATATATCGGAGTTACTTTTTAAAATGAGACATTCTGCAGCTATTCAGAATCTTTTTTCATTGCCGTATGACTTTTAATGAGCTGCCCCATGTATTCGAAGGAATAAAAGCATTATTTTTCCCGACACTTACTCAAGTAGCTGACAAAAAAAATTCGCTTATGTACGTTTACGATAGGTAATCGCAGCTAAAATCTGACTGATCCGATTATAGAAAGAACAGAAAAAAAAAATTTGTCAAATGATATGGTTTTAAGACTAGAGAATTTTATTGATGGCTGACCTCAATGATGTTGAAATAAGGTACACGCTTCAAGTCAATTGAATAGGTGCATCCCGAGTTGCATTAAAAAACAAAACTTGAAATTGTCGATGCACAAAGCGTATTGAAATACAAACTTTTGGCGAAGCGGTCGTCTTGTTTCGACTTTTTTACAAAATGTGATCATTCCAATTGTCTATCTTTTAACGGAAGTCTAAAAGTCCAAAGGTCAAAAACTCACTAAGGTAAATTGATTTTTATCTGGTGGACATAAGAAGCGAACAGGCTTATGCTGTCAAGTGTTACGAAAGTTTTTTTGTATAAAATTGTGTTCAAATGAAATTTCAATTAGATATTCAGAAAGCCTAAATTCTTGATTTCAAATTTTCTCTATGAGCTCGAATACAAATTCATTTGTATATTAATTTTAGAACAACAGTGTTTGACAAAATGTGATGCTAAAATTTCGATATTTTCCACTATTTGAGTCAAATATCAGAATGTTATAAATCTCGTCAGCTTATTCTCTAAACTGAATAGGTCTCTGAAGCTCTAAACAACTAGATACTGATGAATGTCGAACATACCAATTTCAAGGACACTGCTACTAGACGCAGTTCAATGAATTCATATCTTTCTAGACATATAACTCCGCTTCGACACGAAGTGGAGGTGTCGGGGGCCGGCAGGGAAGATGCCATGAGAGTAAGTCACGATTGTTAGCTGACCTCGATGATGACCTAACCTGTTATTCGTTTCATAATGCAACGTACTCGGTTGTTTTCTGAATGACGCTTGTTGGAAAAGAGCTAAAAAGAGCTTTAAAGAAAGTCTCTGACTTGATGCCAAGTAACCAAAAAACAACCCTAAATTTACTTCTCTTAAAATGTAAACTAGAGCGCGAGCAGTTCATATCTATTTATTCAATGGTTATTGAATTCATAAAAG